GACCGCGGGCGTTGCGTGCCCCGGAGCCCAGCTGGTAGCACGCGTGGGGCTTTAACCGGGCGGGGACTCGGCTTCGTCCCTGGCCCGGGTCTGGCCCGGCGCCCTCAGGCGAGAAAAAGATACGCGCTCCCCGTGACACAGCCGATGACTCTTCGCAGTGAAAAACATAACGAGCCTCTTGCACAGTGTGTCAGAAATACCAACAGACCTCATGGAGAGGATATCTCAGTCCCCAAGATTTCTGGTTTGCATGGTGAAAGAAGTGAGGGCCAACCACAGCACACAGGAGTGAGGTAGCACGGGTAGGAGAGCAACACTAAGTTGCAAGTGCCAGCTTTGCACTTGGACATGCTCCTTGCACGTCTGAAGCCACTTTGAATCAAGTGGATTTCGGTGTTCGAAATCCCGTTGGTGCAACTCAGCAAGTCTAAAAGGCAAAGCAAGTACACTGCAGCCATAGTGCTACATATATGCGCTTCAATACCTTGTGACACTAGGTGACACTGAGGGATCATACATGCATTTCGTCACAATAGAGTATCAAATGTCTCTTCCCAGACAGAAAGGTTTTTATCAGTCGCACTTGTGAACTCCACAGTAATCTCAGGCCTTTCAGTACATCATCATGACGCTTTTTTAATTTAATCTTTAAACTCATTATGAAAATGTATTTTGCTGTGATTTTGGCAAAAAATCAGAAGTCTCTCACGCGCATGCACACAGAGCAAGTAGAATCTTTCTTGAAACGCCAGAAGGATGATAATTCATTAACGTGATATTAAACACACAGGACGCTGTCTAGGTGAGAGGACAAAATACGGTTTTAAAGATGCGATCAACTGTCTCTCTTGAATGTCTCCCACTTTACATGCTGAAACTAACCAACTGCACACTTCTGTCAGTGTTCCTGCCTCCGATCGTGTAAAGGTCAGATAGCATGTAGCTTTGGTGGGATGGCTAATCCCTGTAATAAACAGCAGGCAGTTCACAATGTGAAGGCTGTAAGGGAAGAGGTCTATTTTAAAGTGTAGAAATTCCACCGGTATTCCGTCCTCGTGGTATATATTGCACCTGGTTCTCAGTCTAATGGAAACTTCCCCTCATTTGCTAAAGGAAAACTCACAGCGGAATGTGATTTTACTCTAAGAAACTTACGGTATCAAAGCTTTTTCAGCTCAGTTATTTCTCAGAGTATTGCAAAATGCTCTTTGAGAACTTTTTCCTTAGTGGCGCCTCCGTTTGGAGGCTAGGAGTGCGAGAAGATGTGATATATTCATACCACTTTGCTAATGTCAGAGCATTCAGTATTTCTGATCAATGGCACTAGACATTATGCGCTCAGGTGCTTGTGCCTCGTGCCTTAGATGCTGGGAAATAAACCACGCTATAAATTATATGTTACCCATCTTTAAGAAATGGTGGTGTGGTTTCTTGTAAGGCAATGCTGGGTTTGTGCACAAGCCTTGGTGGTTACAAAATGTGGCATGCACGCCTCTGCGTGTTCAGTCAATTCACAGAATCTGTTATAAAGTTGGTTCCTTTGGTAATACCAATTCACTATTCAAAATATATTTTAAAAAATACCTTGCTGCTTTTCAAAGATATTTAAATAAATCTAATAAAGTTGTACTGACACTTCTGCCAAGAAGGATAGAATAGGATCCTTTAGTATTTAAAAAATGCTCTAAGATTTTTCTACACCAAAGTAGTAATTTCTGTAAGATTTTTTTATTAGTCATCATGATTCTTCAGAGCAGGATTTCAGTTGAGCTGATTTAGCTATATAATTTTGCAATGCAGAGGAAGTGGTCTGAAAATAACTGGATGATACTGAGAGAATATGTTCTCCCAATCTTCTTTAAATGAAGTAACTTTAATGTATTTGTGTGAATTCATCTATATATTAAGCCGTATTTCTTTTAGCCACATTTCTGTATGAACAAGTAGCTTAAAAGCATTTCCAAAATATATAAGGCTTCATTTCAGCCCCAAGTATAGATAAAATATCCGTTAATATTTTATTTTGGGTAATTAAGGCAATAACAGTGTATTTAGTTTTATTTCAGTTTGTGGATTTTTCAAAAGAAACCCAAAACTGATGGGAAGAATGTGGGGTTTGGGTACAAAGTTATGTTTAGAGTGGTCTGTCTAAACCATATTCAGCATCATTTTCATAAAGCTCTGAATTAGAAAAGAAAAAAGGTGAAAGGACGCTACAGTGTTGGTTGGCTCTGGATTTGAAAAGCCATGGCCACATAATCCTTTCAAGCTGACATACATGCCAGCAGCCACCAAAAGGGGCAGGCTTCCTGCTTCCATTGTTCAGGTCCCTGTGAGCTAAATAAGGGCACTTTCTCAGCTGAAAACTAAGCATCTTCCTTCTTATGGGATAAGTTTTTAGCGATGCAGTTTGCTATGCAGCTGTATGAACGCTACCTCTAATAATTTTTCCCTACCACTTCCCATGTGTATCAGAAAGGGATGCACCGCACCGTTTCTGGCAGCACAAATATACGCCGAATTAAAGTAACTGTGTAACTCTGGCCTAAGAGTGCGAAGGGGGAAATGGAACTATGAAAGAAAAACTGAAGGCTGTAGCTGTGATCTATTCTCTCATTCAGTTACCTTGAAAAAAGCCATAGCACCGAGGAAACAGATTGTTTCGCTTTAACTAACCTCTTGCCTATATGCTTACATCTGAATTGCAGAGTATATTCCAGACTGGATAGACCCATGGTATCTGTACAGTTTTTATAGTGCAGATGATCCTGATTTTTTTTATTTTTTTTTTTTTTTAATGATTTTCACAGATGAGCTGAGTTCCTGGATACAGCAGTCTTTTAAACATTACGTTACACAAGAAGCTAAGCAACACTTCAATGACTATGACAAAGACGGTGATGGATTACTGTCTTGGAAGGAGTATAATATGCAAATGTATGATCGTGTAATTGATTTTGATGAGAACACTGTCCTGGAGGATCAAGAAGAAGAATCATTTCGACAGGTAAAATGTTTCAGCATCAGTTTCTGTAAGCCGTTGGCAAGAGGCAGCAATGTTTGTTTATTGTGACGGAACAAGATGGGTAGAGAAACCGTAGGAGCTGGCGCATGTTTTAACACTTTCATCTATCTGAGATAGGGGAGTAATTAAAGGAAAGTAATGGTGTATTAAAGCTGCTACCAACAAAACAAAGACAAAATGCAATTGTAACCCTTGAGTATATTTTGCTAGCTGAGCGGAGTATAAGTCTATTGACGGTCTCACCGCAGAGCACAAGTCTCCAGCCATCTCCTCAAAACAAGATGGCAATCCATTAGATTAGGTCTGGAGCCTTACCAGTATCCTGCCTTCAGCAGGGGCCAGTACCGCTGGTGTTGGAGGTGAAGGAAACCCTTTAACCCTCCTGATGGCACTGTTCTACCCACTTGTTCAGTTATTTCTCAAGTACCCAGTGCGGGGTATCAGCATTCCCTGCTTTGACGTTTTCTGTCCATTAGAGACCCACAGAGAAAGCAATAGCAATTCAGACATTTTTTTAGCAATCAAAATGCAACTCTGAAAGCTAAAACTGGATGTATAAACAACAGAAGTTATGGGTTAATCTCACATATGAAAGCAGATACTTAAGAGTGGAAAGGAAATAGGCAAGAGAGGCAGGAAGGGAAGGTTCAGCAAGAATCACAACATAGCAAAACTTGTTTCGTTTCAAGGTACACGTTTATAAGTACATGTAAATATTTCCCAAAAAGAGAATAAGTGAGTTTTTAGACTATTCTGGCCTGAGTTTATTTCTTCTGTGTGGACTGCTTTGGGCTGCTTTTAGTAAAGTAGTAGTAGATAATACAAGATGTTGGCAGAAGTGAAGCTAAAATAGAAAATGGGCAGGGGATTTTACACACTGAAGAAACAAACTGTAAAACTTTGGAGGTCACTTAACAGAATAATTACATAGCTTTTAAATAAAACGAGACTTTAAATGGAACTACCAGTCAAAATATTGATCCCATGTTTGCGATATTGCCGTAACAAATTTATATGCTGAGCTAGAACTCTTACTCACTCACTCATGCTATAGTTTGTTTCACTGCTTGCAAGGTTTTCCTGCTTGCTGACTTCTTCAACATACATTGTAAAAAGAAAAATTAGCAGCATTGTACGAGCATCGTACGTCAGCATTTTCCTTACTTTTGAAAATTAGCGATCCTGCTCTAACCAGAATGGAAAGAGATTATGGTATTGATTTAGAACTGACATCAAGTAAACATATGAATTCACCAGAAGGTGGCAGCCTTGTTCATCACCTCAAAAAACCCCACTGAAAAATACTTTTCCCTTCAGTAGTTCACGTTGGCAGTCTAGTAGTTTCTGTAGTCAGTCCTTCTGAATTGCCTTCCTATTTAAACCCTCAGCTAAGACCATCTTTTCTTTAAGAGTACATTTAATTATTTTGCAGAATAGTTACTATATTTTGTTACATGCTATGCTCTGTATTAATCAGATTAGCCTAATTTTGAGAGAAGTGTCAATAAATAGGATATAAACTAAGAAGTACATTTTAAAATGGATAAAGTATTTGTGATCTCTGGTTTGCTGGACCCTCCCTTACCCATATCAGAGTCACACTGATAGCACAACACATTTAATCATGGGATTCCTAAATTTTTATAGCTCACATTACAGGCAGTTTGAGTAGAGATCAGTTATCAATGTGTGTTTTGTCTAAAGAGACTGTACGAAATGAAACAAGAAAAAAATACAAAAATTTTTGCACATTTGGAATACAGAAACAGGAAGTGTGAGACATTCAGCAATAAGAACTTGCCTACTTATTGTAGGTATTACTTATTTTTAAAAGCCATGCTAATATTTATACTTAAAACAGGTTAGAGAAGTGACTTTGCTTTGAAATATGTCCAGAGGTAAGGGATAACAGTCTTGTATTAAAGGAATCTGTCTAATCCTTCAGTGCTTAAAATGGCTTCCGAAAAGACGTTTTACATATATGATGTTTCAAGACCTTCTTTGAACTACAAACAGCCCTTGATATAAAGGAGATATAGATCCAGAAGGTTAAATGTCCTTAAAATGTAAATTTTGGAATTTGCAATGGCTACCATTAATTATAATCATTGTAGTCCACTAGGTTAGTTTGGGAATTGGTGACTTTTAGAAGAGGAAGCCTGTATAAAGACAAGAATTATTGGTCTTTTCATTATCTCCTTTTTGTGTTTTTGAAGCCTTGGCTAAGACTGTGTTTTAAATGTCTCCTAAAATTGAAAAAAAAGGAAGTTTTTATGCAACTCTTAGCATAAAACGACCTCAACTAAAAGTGCTGTTCTTGTTGCTCTGGATGAGCTCTTTTTAGTGAAAATACAACAGCAGTATAACATGAGTAGGTAATGCGAAACAATTAATATTCTAATAAGCTTATAGCCAGCTACTATAATGTTGTTTTTCCTTTTCATTAAGCTCTCTAACTAAATCTATTTTCTAAGCTTCATTTAAAGGAGAAAAAGCGTTTTGAAAAAGCTAATAGAGATGATGTTCCTGATCTCAACGTGGATGAATTTGTTGCTTTTGAACACCCTGAAGAAGTGGAGTATATGACGGTAAGGATATAAGAGGATATCTTTATCAGCCTGTGTAGGTAAATGCAGCATCTTTTTAATGCGTGTGCTTAGCCCCAGTCCTACAGGAAGTGTGCTTTTGAGCTGTTACGTGTATTGCTTTTACAGACCAAATTAAAAATCAGCTAAATGTGTTGTGGATCCATTGCTGGAGTTCAGGAGCTGGAGCGGTAGTTCAGTGCTTTTCTTTGCAATCTGTTTCAAGAGCTATTATTGCACAACTATCCCAGACTTTTGGGATTGGATTGACATAGCTCTGTCTTAAACTCTGTTAGGTTGGAAGTACATCAGTCAGATTTTAGCTTGAGGAAGTTTAATGCCTCCTTCAGAGTTCAGTGCTAGTTAGGGGGACTTACAAGAAAGATTTCATGGCACAGGAAAAGGTCAAGTGCTAGTTACTCTCACCTTGCTTAAAGGGACACAATAGTCACTTTTATGGCCAAAAAAGAGCATTGAAGCCCAGCTGAAGCTTTAATACTGACTGTACTATGGTTAGAGTTTGGGGGATTATGATTTCAGCCAGAAGCACTTTGTCATTAGTCATCTGTCCCATCACTGCTGTGACTGTTGATGTCATTCCAGCCCAGTACTGGCAGTTGACCCCAGTTAAAAGTACATTGGTGCTTTTCTGCAATAGAGCCTTTGGCTTTGGCTATCTGATGCTGCAGAGCTAACTGTCAGGAGGAACACCAACGCAAGCAGAGCCTCCATTTGTGTTGACATAACTGTTGGTTACAGAACAAGAAAGGACAGAACTGCAAGAACAGGCACACTGGCAAACACAGGACCAAAAGACCAGTTTTCCTAATAATTGCATAAAGTTGCAAAAATGCAAATTAGTGAATACATCACATGAAAAAGAATAGTGAAATGAGATGATACAGCTTTGTACAAATTCATGTTTCTCAGCTACTTGTGTAGTTTTGAATTATGTTGAAGGATTCACCTTTCAGATTTGGTTTTCATAAAACCCGACATCCTGAACTCTTAAGAACAGATCTGTTTTGTTGCACAGGAACCAATTACTGCGCTAGTCTGCGTAAAACAGAAAAGCGGATTTGAAATGAGCAAGTCTTCACTTTAAAGAATACCTTAATGCTTTAAAATGATTTATTGCTGTTTCTCTTGATTACAAGATGCTAATTTTCCACAAATTGATACTTTGCTTTTTGCATGTATGCAAAAGGACTTTGTCATTCAGGAGGCTTTAGAAGAACATGATAAAGATGGTGATGGATTTGTTAGCCTGGAAGAATTCCTTGGTGATTACAGAAGAGACCCAAGTAAGGAAAAAGGGTGGGGGCATGAAAGAAAGAATGGAACAAAAGCTTTTGCAGTGGGGTGAATTGTATGCAACTTTATTTTCAGCTTTTTACAACTCCACCTACAGGTTCTGAGTAACATCATCCTGTCTTTTAGAATAATTCAGTCTCCTGGTACTGGGCAGAGTAAGTCGTTATTTCAGTCTGCCCTGTACGTATTTGGCAGTAGTTTGCGTATAGCCCATTGCTCTGTTTCCTTGCAACTTCTTGTTTTCCTAAAGACTGAAGCATATTCCTCATCGCTAGGTATGCGGCTGAAATAAGATGCAGTTTTGCTCACTGAACACATCTGCAAAACCAGCCAGCGTGAACGTAAGGTTGAACTTTCCTGGTCTTGATCAGCTGAAGGAGGCAGCTGTCAGCCTTGCTTTAGAAGGATTGGAGCTGCGTGTGTTTTAAGAGAGGTGGAGGGGAAGTCTAAGCAGTCCGTTCACTGTACCAGTTATCAAAAGCCTATCTGCTTGAACTTTCTGGTTTGGGTGGGGTTTTTTTCCCCTCCACTCTTGCACTTCCTTAAAGTTACACTATTCCTTCTTTAACAAGAAAAAGGACATTCACTTGGTGTTTATCAGTACTTTTCTCTAACTATGTTGCTAACAGATAAATGTTTTATATGCTGTATTTGATTTGCTACAAGATAGGGCAAATAAATCCTCCAGTTCCAAAACGACCAGTTGCTTGAGGCATGTGGAAAGTCTGATTGGTCCTAAGGAGTGCTAATTCTTAAGCGAGGACTAGCATCCTAGCTGGGGAAGGTGTTTAAGCCACGTGAGAATATGGAGAGACAGAGGAATAGTCAAGTTTTTCTTCACTCACCCACCTGAAATTTCACCTTTTATTACCATCTTTGTTTGCCAGAGCCAGTAAAAACAATGTCTTTCATGCAACTACAGGGTTCTTTATCCTGCTCTGATGTGAAGAAAGCTTTTCTAAGCCACTCTATCTGAAGTTGTGAGCAAGGAGTGAAATTGTTGCTAGGCTCCTTGCAGTAAGAGGGAAGATAATAGCTTTGCCATTAAAACTTTTTAGCCAGAATTCAGCATCAGCTATAATTGCAGAAACTACTTCAACTGTTCTCCAAAATGCCACCTCTTCTGCAGACAGTGTTCCTGCAGCACACTTGAAAATGACCTGTAAACTACACGGTGGGTCAGGTTTCACAGTTGTTTCGTGGTTTTGGGCAACGGTGTATGGTGCATTGTGACATTAGGGGATAGTCTACTTGCAAACTACATGTTAGAAGGGAAGGAGAGAGACTTCACACTTTTTTCTTCTTTTCTAATATAAACTTAATTCTTTTTAAGCTGTTCTTTATCTGCTTGTGATGTCAACTACTTTTGACTTCCATAAGGTTTAAGAAGGCGTAATATTTGTTCATGCTTGTATGCAATGTTTATCAGTGGTGAAAGATCAGTTGGATGAATTGCTTCCAAATTTCTTGAGGAGTTAGAGACAAGTTTAAGATTGCTGGCTAGGTTGCAGGATGCAATATCAGTGCACAAGGTAAGTATAAATCAAGTGTACAAATAAATAAAAACAGTAAATGGGATTGCTTTGGATATATTCCAGGTATTTAAAAAAAAAAAAAAGTAAACTAATTTGAAAGCTGGCAGAATTGGTCTATTGAGCCCGCACTAATCAAGAGCTTTGCCTTCTCTATTAGCTGTCACAGGTGGGCCTCCCTTGATGTTAAAGCAGGGGAACAGACAGTAGAATGTTATTAAAAAACTTAGTAACTTGGCCTTACAAGTTTCATAATCCCATATACTGCAAAACCCTACTTATCTACCTACTTTTTGGGACACTTGTCAGTTTAAAGCTTTTCCCTACTTTCCTCCGTCCATTAAGTGCTGAGATGACCAATGTCTGGGGCCCTGTAGTATTGCTTATGTTGCAATATGGTATCTGCAACACGATTGCTATGCGTTAATGGAAGAGAGCGATCGTAACTCTCAGTCAAGGTGAATACCGCACGAGGTCTCTGTCATCCGCTTTAACTTTTTCCTACTGGTATGTCAGCTGCGCCAATAAGTAGGAAACCGTCTACTCAGCAGCACATTCTGTATAAAGTATGCTTTCTCCACTATCCATTTGGGTAATTGTGGAGATATTAAAATTAAAAGTTCAGTTGATGGTAACCCTTACTTTAATGTCCGCTTAGTTCAACTGTAAACTTACAGTCTTAGTATTACCTTAGCTTTAAATTGTGTGTTAGTCTGTACAAGCATTTTTTTCATATGTAGACACATGCATTTATTTAATCTAGTGGGACTGGTCTGTAAGGCTTGCCTTTGTTTAGTGAAATCGCTTTTGTACTTTATTTTATGAGATTAAGTGACTTTGCTTGGGAGAAAAGGTGAAAACATCTGCTTTAAGGTAGAGTGGCTTTAAACTTGACAAATGTGTCTTCCTAGCTGCAAGGGAGGATCCAGAATGGATACTGGTGGAGAAGGATCGCTTTGTGAATGACTACGACAAGGATAATGATGGAAAACTCAACCCTCAAGAGCTGTTGTCTTGGATAGTACCTAATAATCAGGGTATCGCACAAGAGGAGGTATGTGTTTTGACTGCTGTTTAGATTTTACTTAATGCGGTAGTATTTTGAAGGTATCGCAACAAAATGGTAGATGCATTCAGATTCATCATGTCTTAGTAGTTGACAAAGAATGCTTAGTAGATCTTTGCATATCTTTAACTTTTTTTTTTTCAGTTTGACAAAGAATGCAGGCCCTTTAACTGCATTAGGTAGATTTGGCAATCCTGTTAATTGTATGAATGTTTGTAAATTAACAAAGTGCTTTTCTACATGTTTAAATAGCTTATCTGGTTTGACTTAAGGGTACAGTATTTTAATCAGTTATTTTTTAGTTATTGTAGGTAAATCTAATGAGCTATACTACTAAAAGAGGCTGTTATATGCTGGCAGCATAATTTTGAAAACAAATTGATCGTGATTCTTCTGACTAAATCACCATAAATTGTAGAACCAAAGGCTTGTCTTCATAAGCAGAAGAAAAAGGAAGTATTCTCTGATTCAAGAGGCTGTAATGCAAACTTTGATGATGATAATAATTAAAATGGTTTAATGAGGGGTAGAACGCCATGTAAGTTTAAGTGGATTCTCATTTTAGCTATCTTTATTTTTTTGTAGCAGGCAGTAGAAGCACTGAGTGTTCCAGAACAACCTATTTTAGTAAGCAGACTTTGCAGTTGCTGACTACAGTAGAGAGGATTTCTGCCTCTCTGCTAGTAACTTTTAATCTTAATTCGTCCCAGTCTCTTTCCTTTGCACTGAAGGATTTTGGTGTTCAGAGTGGCAGGAACAACAGGTCTTCCCAGGCCTCCATAATTCCTGGTAGAGAGAGGAGGGGCTTTGTGTTAAGCAGCACAACCCATCTGCTGTGTTGGACCATCACGGTGCTGAGTTCCCACCTCTTCCTTTTTCAGCTCTGTTGGTGACAGGAAAAGCAACGTGGCTTGCACACAGCACTGGCTGCTCACATATCTAACCTCGTAGGAAGCTAAGCTGTTAAATTGCTCTAGTGGTATTTTTGCAAATGTGGATCTGTAAGCCTTTGCACAGACTTTTTTAACATCTGACTCTTGAGGGTGGTTGGTTCTTATTTCACAGAAACAATACTGTTCTAACTGACGTAAAGTCTGTGCGGTGTTGAGTCTATTCATGCCGGTGTTGGTTTGCTTCGTCGGGGGTTTTTTTTTAGCACTTCTTTGCTATTCATTCGAATTTTAGCTTACGGCAAGGCTGTGCTGTAGTAATAGCTCAGTTCTGCAAGAAATATTGTTTTTTTATTTGTTTCTCCACTGTGCTGGGTTTTTTCTTTAGTTAATATAAGGGTTTAGCAAAGTCATCAATCCTAAAGAGATTGACTTAAGTCATAAACTGCTGTGTGAAAGCTGAATATGGCATTCCTTTTGGCATTGCAAAATGCCTTGAGAAACCTAGTAGCTAAATAACATAAAAATAGAAAAATTACTATACATTCCATCTCCAGGAATTGGTATTGTTTACCAAGATGCTTGTCTGAATAATCTTTTAGCTTTTGCCGTGCAGACTGCTTTTAAAATCTGCTCGGCTGACGTTAGTCCCTGTTATTTTCTTCAGTCCTTTTTGGTGATGTAAGTCAGCTTAAATGTAAGTAATATTTAATTTATAAAATAAAGTCAGTAAGCAGTTCATTTGAGCCAAACCAATCAAAAAAAGTACGAACAGACGGATTCTCTAAATCATTGTGTTTGTAGATGTTTAGCAAATAAAAACAAAACCCATGTAATACTAGGGCTCCTCTATTTCTCAGAAATAGTAGGTGCAATAGAGCTGCTGTACTAGCTTGTTAGCTTTGAGCTATGTAATACTTGTGAATAAGCTACAACTAAAATGTTCTGCAATTCCTTTTTGTTTTACTGCTGAACTTCCCTCCCTTTATAATATTCAAATAAGCCAAAACCCGAGAATTGTTTTAACTTGCAGTTTCATTTCACATTGTCATGATAGAGTATTTAAAAGATTTTTCAGAAAAGCAAGCTTTTGCTTTCAGCAAATGAGGGAAAACGTGAATTGCTACCCAAAATTAAAGTTCCTGTGCATAGATGGCTTATCTTGTCCACTGCTGAAGGTAGAAAACCCTTTTTCACGGTGATCATGAAATACTTTCCAGTTACATTTTAATGATGAATTATAGCCATGGAGCATTTTTTGCAGCTCAGAAAGCTTAAGCTTAACCTGAGCACTGTAAACGATGCTTATGTTGTCAGACAGAGGGTAAGTATGTGACTGAGATAACTGGGGCACGCTTCTGAAAGAGAATGCTCAACTTGAGGACCTTGTTGGCTCAAATCCTGGTTGAGGTCCCACACATCAAGGACTTGCTATTGTAGCTGTCACTTGGTGGCTGAATGTCCTGAGGGGCCCTCTGAAAGCGCAGGGTCTCTTGGCTGACGTGCTAAGCTTGTGTTTTCTGCAGATCAGACGCTAAAGCTGTGTACCGCCCGCATTTTCTGCAGATGGTACGCTAAAGCCATGTGCTGCATTCGCCTGTGGATTTCAAGGAGTACGGGTACTTCCAGGAAGATGATTAATCTTTCCTGGTTTAATACTGTCTTCTGCCTTCAAAGTAAAACTGTGGGTTTGGCATTGATTTGTTGCTTTAGAGTTGCTAGTGAGCGTAGAGATTTGATATCACGATTTTGCCACCAAATAAAAGAGGCAAAGGGAAACAAACTGAGGAAAGAAGGGCTCTGTTCTGAATGTAAGATCTCGTCTAGCTTGTTACAAATAATGCTTTTGTGGCAGGACTTTGACAGAGCTGTTCCAAAAGTGTATTTCTAAATGCTCATATCTATTAACTGTGCACACGATGTTCCATTTATTTTAAAGGCTCTTCACCTTATTGAAGAAATGGATTTGAATGATGATAAAAAGCTCTCTGAAGCAGAAATCCTTAAGAACCAGGATTTGTTCCTTAACAGTGAAGCAACGGATTATGGTAGGCAGCTTCACGATGAACGTTTCTACCATGAAGAACTTTAGATTATTTATTTTGTAATCTGTTTTTCTTCCGTTTCTTTCATTTGGAGCTTTTGTTAAAAGCACCCATCAGCTATGTTGTGAGTTTTATGCTGTAATTACAGTACACTAATGTTTGCGTAAATAATTTGTATTCAAAATTTAATTGCCCTCCTGCAGACTTCCTTGGGCCTCTTCTAGCCGTCAAAATTAATCTTAAGTACTTACTTCCAAAATTCTGTAGTGTTGGGAAATAAATTACTTAAGGGGTAGTGCTATATTGTGAAGAGTTGTTCTGCTGTACTTGAAGAAAATGGAGGCTCTGAATGATTCTGAAAGAATGCAAACCATAGTAACTGAGAGACTACTATTTTTTCTAATCAGTTTAGTTAGGGTGGGCAGTGGGGAAGATGAAGGGATGTTTAGAGTCAGTATTAACTGTGTTTTATTTACTATGTTTGGAGAAACACTTAGATGAACACCTCAATTGTTTAAGAGGTTTCTACTTAATTTTAAATGGTTTCTATACTGTGTTTTATTGTATCATAAAACTTGCTATTTTTACATCTATAGACAATAATTGTTTTTAATGTACGATTCTACAGCATTAGCAATACAATGGTATTTTGCAGTGTTAAGACTCTTAATTTGTTGGATTAAAATTTACAATATTCTGTCTTTCTGTGTTCTGTCCATTTGTTACTTACTGTGGGTCAACTCCTTGAAACGTGAACAATGTACACGATGTACATAATGTGCAATGGCAACGTTCTTAACATTCTCTAAAAGTTAACTTTGGTTGAAAGCTCCACAATTACCATTCATAAAAGTGAGTACTGCCCCGTTAGGTGATTATTTGTACTAGTCTGAAAGGTTAATGGCACGACAGATTCAATTTAGGAAAGTACATAGATTCGCTTTTTATCTCCTAGAAAGCCGCATAAATTAGGTGAGTTGAGTTATTCTAAACAAAGACAAAGCCTCGCAGAACAGATTGTGTAGTGTATTAGGGTGTTATAATTCCTAGATAACTAACTTCTGTAATGCTCTTGCAACGTTCTTCTTGACTAATCTTTTCCTTCCTCCCAACTCGCTTTTTATTGAGTAAAAGCAACCAATTCTGCCTTGTTTTTTTCCCAGTATACTGTCTATCAATTATTCTCCGAACAAACAGGAAATTCCTTTTGACCTAAGTGTTGAATATCACCATTAGAACAGTAGCAATTTTGATTCAGAACAAAACCACATCTAATTTTAGTGCATTTTTTTAGAGACCATACTGATAGAAATTCAAAATGATTCTTCAGCTTTAGAGGTTATTTTTTTTCTACCCATATTTGTTTATTTCAGTTCCTGAGAATGTGAGTAAAACTCTTGGCCATGTTGGTGTTGGGATCTGATTTAAAAATGATAATAAAAAACCTCTTAATTAAATCCCATGTGTCCAGGAATATTAAAGCAGTTGTTGTCATCTTTGTTGGTTTGAAATCTCCCCAAAGTTGCCCATTTGTTACTATTCTTTCTGGCATTTTTAAACAAGTGTTAATGACAGATTCAACTGCCTACTCGGTATTGAAAGGATGCCACTGTCCTTGGCTCGTTGACTCAGCTCAGTCGTTTGCTGGATTGCAATAATTTCCATAAACCAAGAATAAGAGGAGGTATAGTAAGACCAGTACAATAGCATTTATACAGTCCACGTCCCGGAGTCTGTGCCAAACATCTCATTTATTGCTTATTTTAATATTCCTGTAAGCAGATCATCATGTGAGGTATTACTAGAGCTTAGCTCACTGTAAGATAGAAGTATGGCTTTCCTCTTAATGTAATTTTATGGGCACAGAAAACTTGTGCTTCAAAAGGAAACAATATAATTGTTAATGTAACTGAAATGCGGATTTGGAGAAGTGCTAAGCTCAATCCTTTAATAATGGTGTATTCTGTTGAATGCTTCTGTAATTCCTAGAGTAAATTAACACGGACTTCTTTTTATTTCTGATAATGTTTTTAAAATCAGGCTTCTTTAGGATTAGAAGCCTAATAGTGCTTTCACAAGATGTGTGGCTTTTGATAGTTTAACCTAGTGTTCAGGTTGCCCAAATTGGCAATCCACCACTTCATATTCAGTGAAGTCTGTCCAAATACTCGAGGCGAGAGGAGCTCCAGTACTTGCAGGGTGATGCATTGACAGAATCCCTTACCCAGCATTCTTTAACTATACTGAGAAAAAGTGCAATGAAGCAAAATATCTCTTAGAATTTATACCTCTTTCACTGTAGGTAGAAATTAAATAGAAACTTCTATTTTAATGAGTCAGAGCAGAGATTTTCAGCAGTCCACTGTGGCATCATGTATTTTATATATTTCTAGAAGGAATGACCAGTACTGAAACTGTGATTACCAGAGCCTGCGAAAGTCACACACAAGGTAACCCAGGTTAGCTTAATCTTTGCGTTTCCTGTTGGCCCTCCTCTTTGCAGAAAATGCGGGGTGTGACTGTTTGGTGAAGGCTGAGAGCAGCATCTGGTGGCTCCACTCCCCTCTGACAGGTTTTACAGAAGGTTTTCCACAAGGTCCAAACTTTAGCTGTAACTACTTGTGCTCCGACACGAAGACGTTGTGGAACAAAGGACTGTGTCTCGTGCTATTCTTCTGTCATGTAAGGCTGATGCTTTGTTTTGAAAAAGCCTCTGACCGATCAAATAGAATAAAAACAGGTTGTAGGGATATTTTAGAAAGCAAGAACAGGTTCAGCTAATGCTGCGTTCCATCCCGGTATGCCCTTCTGAACTAACAGACCTGACTCCATCAAAGGGCGCAACCTCTACCTGCGGAAGTTTTCTGAGCATGGTTCAGGTTATGGTCAGCTGGAACAGCCCAAAACGGCCAGTCGAAAAACCCCCAAAAGATCTAACTCAAAATTGAAACCTTAGCTTTGTCTAACAGGAAGAATAAAAAGAGATGGTGAAGGTTGTCACATTTTCTTTACCACCATGTTGTGGTTTGAGGGGAGGAGGCATCCTACTTCAGCACGTTGTACGGAAGGTCTCTGGCCTGTTAGATCCGATCTCACTTTGTAAGCAGTACATGCAGAATACTCCCAATTCAACTACTAACGCTGGTAAAAGCACTTTGTCTCCATGTAATAACCACTCTGGCTTCTTAAGAGAGAGACTGAGCGTTCTTGTTGGCAAGGTAACCTCATCCTCCAAATCAGTTAGCCCTAATTTAGGGGCAGTTATCCCTAATTCAGGGCTCTGTAGGAACAATTCTTTGGACAATGTCTAAGTGAGAGAGACTTCAAAGGAACAGATACTAGCTACACTCAATGATGAGAACAAAATTCCTCTGCTTGTTCCAAAATCCTGCCATTTCTAAAATCAAGGATCTAGCAAACTTTGATTTCTAAACAAACACTGCATGTCAAAATGAAGGGTGAACAGGTCAAAGGGAGAATGATAAGATGTCAAGTAAATGAAGTATCAATATTACGGTGCTTAGATTTGCAAAGTTTTCCAGCACAGGAAGCAGCTCATAGATTTAGCACCTACAGAAACACATCCTACCAAAGGCAGAGCTCATCTCAAGGAAAATGGATGTGTGACAGAACAAGCAAAACTGGAGTGCTGCTATGAACAAGCAACACTTCTCAGAGGGGCACAGCGAAGCCACGACAGGCAACAGTCACAAGTTCCAGCGAGGGAAGTTCTGACTAGGTGAGAATTTCACAGTAGCAGTGGTTAAGCAGCGAAATGGACCCAGAGAGGCGGTGGAAGAATTGCCGCCCTGCAGATAGTCTGAGCTCAAAAAGGCCCTGGGCAATGTGATCCGTCTTTGAAGTTAACCCCGCCTGGAGCAGGAGACTGAAGCGGAGGCCTGCCTTGCACAGACTGGGAGGCACAAGTAATCCTCTTTAGATAGGATCACTTCAAAGCATTTGGCAAGGTGCTTCCTATATAAGTTATTTTGAGCATGCAGCATTTCCAACTACAAGCTCTCCTTTCTTCCTCTGTCTTAACCCCACCCCCCCCAGTTTGCTAGAAGTAACAAAAACCCCTCAGAAGGTGAACGCTGATCTCAGTGTTGGTTTTAAGGTAGCAGCTACTCTTGTTATAACATGTATATTATACATATATATATAAATATACCTTCTCTATATAGAGGGTAATGCCCCATGTCAGGTGCTTTGTGCCCTTCTCACAAGAAGAAAAGTCACTTTAAAGGGTAATTCCGTAAGAATTTGGTCCTTAAACAAAATCCTTTGTGCTGCATAAATGCTGCTCACATGGATGTGTACCAACGCCTCTAAATGGAGGCGTAAGGAAATACTTCTCCATGAAGGATGCTATTCCACCAGCCCAGCTGATCTATCAAAGCCAAAAGGAAGTTGTTGAAAAAACAATCCGAAAGGAATTCACTATAAATAAAGAAAAAGTTAAATTGTTTTGGGAAAGCCAGTAATAAACCTTCCTTTCAATAGGAACAACAGGAGAAACCCAAGACTGAGCAGTGTGAAACATCAGGCCTTAATCACTTGCCTAGCTGAAGCATGGTGCAGTTCAAGTTCGCAAAAAGCAGAAACGCTACAAAGGTTTTTACCAGTTCCCTGTTCCTCTTTCTAGCTATCCAGGCAGGAGTTTGTGGCAAAATATGCAAGTACCTGTTTTCTCAAACAGGTACAGGATTACAGTGCTAACTGAGACAAACCAGCTATTTTTGTCTGGAAATTAAAACAACTACACTTTAATATTTCAGACTGTTTACAATAATAAACATGCAAATAATTTATCTAGAAAAGTTTTGCTCTTTAAAGTTTTGTAACAAAAAGATCTTTTGGATGTTCTTTGCTGCATCGCTTTTACATTTCTACTCAGAAAAAAAATATATAATTGGTGATGTTTCTAAATGAAAAAATATGTGGAATATTTGCTAAAACATGCCGAAGGAGTCTAAACTGTTGCCTCCCATGACGCTAAAGAATTCCCTGTATTACTAAAGAAGGGACATTGTGTACAGAGACAGACCTGTGTACGTACAGATGGTGTATTTTTGACACAGGTTTGAGATTAGCTGAAAACGCCAGGATTTTTCACCAAACACAGCAGTGTCATTGCAAACGCCAGTCTGAACAGCCGTTGCCTGTGTCCATCCCCCCTGTAGTCTCAATCAGGTAAGATTATTTTTTTGCAAAGCATATCCTGAACTTCTGTCTGAGGTTTCCATGAACTTGAACCCTGGTTCCTTCCCAGAATTGCGGTATTCAAAGAATCCTTTCTGAGAAGTGGAAACCTCTTCAGCACTGCAAGCACTGCCTGCTTGGCTAATGAATATGCAATGATGAATATACTTGCAAATGAATAGTGATTTCTTTTGAATTAATGGCATGGAGAAAGCTGGTATATTGGTAGAACGTACAAAAGATGTCAGAGAAATAAAAAGCATCTTTCTGCAGGTACCTGAAGTTACGACAAGAAGGGGAGATAGAAACTCAAACCTTTCCATTTTCTCTTTCACACAGTGGTTATACTTCTTTCCAAAGAACTACCAGATACTGTTCACGCTAATCAAGCCTCCTGTGACATTGCACTTTCCCACGGTTTCTCTTCTCCTTTTTTTGCCTTTGAAACACTTTCAGGGGTAAGGATGGTAGCTAACCATGTTTAAACACTGACCAA